GTTGTAAATGATTTAATATTTGGTTTTGTTCTGGCGGACATACCTTTTTTTTCTCTTCTCTCTCTTCTTTTTCCTTCATTTTGAGCATGAACTGAAGAGGGGGTTAAATCGCTACCTTTTTCCTCATGGAACTGAAAATATTTATTTAAATGTTCCATAAGATACACGTTAATAACAAAATACTCTGTTTCTGAACCCATGCGAGAAAAATGATCTAAAAAAATTGCATATGATGGTTAGAGGTGGGGGTAAAAGCTCTCTTTCATCTCATTACCGTGTGGTTAGAGGACTTGTCCATGATATGGTGCAAATTTTCCTCTGTTTAAAGGGAATTTTATTCCCTTGATAAGAAGGAGACTATATACGCATAAAATAAGAAGATATGTATTATAACAAGACTTGTTAGAGACTCTTCTTGGGTTAGCTGCTCTCACATCTTTCTTGCTTTCTTCTGCTCTGTATAATTAAGCATTTATTACATTATGAACTGGATTCTACCTGTCTCAGCTGTGGTTCCTAATACAAATCTGAGGATCAGTTTTGTTCTGTGTAGTAACTGCACAAGTATTTCCTATAAAATGGAACTCTTCCAGCAGGGGGGGTTGAGGTATTTACTGTACTCTGAAAATCCTCTGTGACTTTGTAAGGCAACTTCCCCAGGAATCTGACAGACCTACATTCAGATTTGTTCTCCTTGATTCAGGACAGGTATTTGGATCAATATCAGTGTCCTGATCACAAGACTGTTCTGGCTGTAGACTGTTCTGGCATAAATCTGATTTACAGTGGGATTCTTAAATATTCTTAAATACCCATTGCGTAATAGAGAATAGTCCGTTCTTTTGACATACTTATATGTATATAAAAATTATTTGGTGTTTTTATGAATAGCTCTGACGTGATAAAATTATTTCCTGAAAGCTTACTGTTCACAAAGTCTTTTTGATGTATTTGTGTGGCCGTAGAATCTATGGGCAAGAAGGCGGCTGCACAGGTAGAAGGGAATGACAGTATGAAGCAGAAGTTTGTGTTGGGGTGTGAGGGCTGTATGTGACTAATAAATGCGTGGAGTGAAAGAGCTGTATATGGAAAAGTATCTTTGTGCATGGAAGGAGACTGCATCTCTGTGCGTGTGAACACTTCCATGTAGAATAAGTGCAATATCTGTGTTGGGATTCAGCGTACGATAACCAGACAACATCTGCCACACGATTTGTTAAAGCTTTTAATAATCTGCATAGTAACTAATGCTGTGTGTATTCATAATGCTTCATAGCCCAGAAAGATTTATCCATTCTGTATCGTATCAGACAAAGTAACTGATGTTAACATTAAGAAAATCTAAAACTTGGGAAACTTGAAGTCCAAAGAGTTTAACTCGCTTGTGTTGTAAATTGTCGATATGTTTAAATAGACAGTTTGCCTTGGTAACGTGTGCTAGAGTGTTTTTTCAGGAAAAAAAGGGAAAAGCTCCATGCTTCACTTACAAATGTTGTCATTTGTCCACATTATAGTAATCACAAGAGAACTGTACTGTTAATGTTGGGTTTAATATCCCCTGATACTAGCTAAGCAGTCAGACTGCTTAGTGGATTTGGATAATTTACTGCCTTGTTATTAGAGTCATTGGAGAATATAAGTGCAGTGCATGCCAGCCTTGACAGATGTTTACAGTCTGTTTGGTACATCACTAAACTTCTAAACTGTTGGTAAATTATGTCCCTCTTTTTCTCCCTTTCTAAGATACTACGCATATCTTCAGCAAGCTCAAGCTTTTTACGCATTTCCGTTCCATCAAATGATGACTGCAGCGCCTAACATGGAAACCATGACTGAGCAGCCGACTCTAGAGGGCATTCCAGAGCCAAACATTGCTCAGGAGCCTCCAAAAGGTAGTTTGACTGGGCTGGGCTAAGTGAGCTAAAACGTTAGTAACTGATTGGGGGAAAAAATTACTGATCTTAAACTGCTTCTTTGGACCTATTGGTTTTCTTGATGCTCTCTGAAGAAGTATTGATTAACTGTATTCTTTTAAGTAACATTTGTTACCAGACAATTAAAAAGATAAGAAGTAAACCCAGGTGGTAGTATTCACATTGTTCAGTCTCACAAAATTATCTTGTTGCAGGAAAAGTATATACTTGTTTCAATAGATAAACGTATCATTTTTAGCTGATTTCGTGGGTTTTAATATTACGCTAGAGAAGTTTTCTTTTTTCAGTCTAATTTTTTTTTAATTTCTGCAAGAAAAGTGCAGTATAATAGTGTTTATTTGAAATATTTTTGTTTAAATGGTGTTTTAGTGTGTTGTAGTAATCACAAATAGTTAATTGCTGATCTACACTAAGGAGTGTTTGGTTTTAGTGAGGCTTATTTAAAGAAATACAAACAATGCTGGAAAGCATCCTGTATGTGACACAAGTTTTGTACTTTATGCACTTGTACGTTGCCTTTCTTTTCCCCCACTAGGATTTTGTACACTTAGGCTTTACACTGACCATGCCAAGAAAAGATCCCTTGTTATGTTACTCTTATGCTTGCTCTTTACCACATAAAAAGGTAGTGACCTCTACCATTCTGATTCTGTAGCAAATATTCACACACTGAGTTTCATTTTGCTTTTAATATATAGATATAGGTCAGAGCTCTCTGTACCAAGGCAATTGATCAGCCAGTTCATGCAATGACATTGCTTGTTTCAGTGCATCCTTTTATAAGCTTCAGTTTTTCTTTTTTAGTTGTAATGCTTGGCCAGATGAAGTCATAAGAAGAAAACCTCCAGTTTAAAACAGTTGCAGCTGCTCTATTCATTCACTGTATTATTCACTACAGTTAGGATGCATCTTAATTGCCATATAGTTAGGCTTCTTTTGCAGCTTTGGTATCGGAGAGCATGATGTCACCATGAGCACGCTGTTTGACTGCACTTTCAAGTATTTTTAGACAACCGTAATCTTCTTTTATGAAGCTGTTTCCTAATATTTTTGCAAGAAATGAAAGCTGAATAAGGCCTTCAAAGGCAGGGCTTGCAGATTTACCAAATATGTATGAAATTTGCCGGAGCATATATGAAAGGCAAAGATTTGGAGTCCAGCTACCTGCTGTGATGAAAAAAGTAAAATTTTTAGGATTACTGTCTGAAAGGCTGCCCTGGCATTGTTCATCTTTCATGACAGCATCTGGTTCGTAGGTACCTGATCAGCATGAGAGTTAGGAGGATGTTATCCTGCTTCATTTGAAATACATCCAACTCAGAGCAGTCAGAGTATCTGTGGCATTTTGCTGTCACATGAAAAACTTCCTATTTTTTCGAGGGGTAGGAGAGAAAAGCTGCTTATGTGCCTCACCAAGTCTGTGCCTTTCTAGTCTCTTCTTCATTGTAACTAGATTATAGCTTGAGTACTGTTATTTACAGCTTTCCTAAGCTCTAGTGATGTGGTGGGAATTTCACATGACTTTTTGTCCTTGTAAGAAAGCTGAGTGCAAACCAAAACAGCCCCAAAAAAGTTTGCAGACTTAGGGCAGTGCCCTTGTATCCACCATGTTTATTTCTTACCTGAGGGAGAGTTTCATCTAGAAATTTTGAAAGTAAGATGAAGTCTCAATTTTAAAGTAATAGATTACCTTGGCTCTTTGCTGATTGCTGCTAAATATGCTTTCATACTTTTGAAGCTATGTTCTGCAACTCAACGTTATTAATGAGCAAGGATAGAGAGCAATCTCTGGGTGGTCATGTCACGACCAGTACCTGTGCTGATCGAATCTCTAAGCTTTAGGGGCCAGAAGATGAGGAAGTTTCAAATGAGTGAACAGTGACTACTTTATGTTTGCATTTTTAAAATAAAAATTCACATTTGGTGTCACTCATTCAAATTGAAGCTCTCATACACTACCTTGCTGTACGATGCACTGGATGGTATCTATTCTGTACACAATAAATAATAGCTTATTTAAAAATTTTAAAAAAATTGTTTAAAAAAAAAAATAGCTTATGCAGCGTTCAGCCTATGTGTTTGTGTTCCTGACAAGGAACCTACACTGTAGGTAATCTTTGAGACCTTTGGCTTTTGACGTGCTGTTCAGTTTCTTCAATATGTTATGTAATCTGTAACAATCAACTTTCATATTTAGAAGCTCAAGTGTGAATGGTAGAGTAGAACTTACTATCGCATTCCTTGGGACCTAAGCTTTGATTTCTGGCATAACCTCCAAAAGAAATTAAACTGTTTCCAAAGGATTGTTGCACACAGCATGTAGACAACATAACCTAGTCATGAGGTTATTCTTGCTTTGTATCCTAAGTCAACATGGTTGCCTGTGAGTAGTGTGTGTGTCTGTGGTACAGAGACACCCAAGCCTGCTCTCTGTTGAGCCTGCAAAACCGAGATTCATCTGATAGTTGTTTACATTAATTAATTTTGAAGGTAAATTTATCTGTCTGGTTTCTTTTTGTGTCCATACATTTAGCTTGGTCTTTTTGAATATCCACACTGCAACATTAGAAATGTACAAAAAGAATATTTGCTGTGTATTTCAGAAGTTAAAAAAGGAGGAAGGAAAAGAAAAGCCAAAGCAACTGAGCCAAAGCAACCCAAAAAGCCTGCTGCTAAAAAAGAAAAATCAGCCAAGTCAAAAGGCAAACAAGAAAAGATCACAGATACTTTTAAAGTCAAAAGAAAAGTGGACCGTTTTAATGGTGTATCTGAAGCTGAACTTCTGACCAAGACTTTACCTGATATTTTAACCTTTGATCTGGACATTGTAATAGTAAGTTACTCACAGTTACAAGATTAGGTAGAAAAGTGAATAGTCTGTACTCGCTGGTTATGGTTTACATTGCTTCTGCTTACTTATCTATATTGCTTATATGGCAAGATCTTGCAAGATAAAGTATATAAACTGTTTCCTGTGTGTAGAGCTGCTTTGCATTTTCTGTTAAAAATCATAGTAACATAGTTCTAACTTCTGAGAAGTCTAAGGCTTACATATAATAATACATAGTCATGAGAGACCGTTACTTGACACTTTATTTACTGGAAGTGCTACACCAGTGGCTGTAAAACACACTGTGAGCTGCTCTTTTGACATTGCACATCTAAATTAGACACTGCTATAAAATTGTAAGGTTTTTTAAATAATGATGGAAGGTACCATTAACACAGTTTTCTTTATTGACAGTAACTTAAAGAGAATTGAGTAAGTACGCTCACTGTTACTTGATTAAATTCCTGACTAGCGAGCCATGTTCTCATCATTAAAATGGACTGGTATCTTTGTAGATTGGCATAAACCCTGGCTTGATGGCAGCTTACAAAGGACATCATTACCCTGGACCTGGAAACCATTTTTGTATGTTTTTGTTTTCCTTTCCTCTTACAGAATTTGCAGAACTTTGTTAGAACTTGTGGCATTTTAATTAAACTGGTCTGGGTTTTGGTTTTTGCCCTTTTTTTTTTTCTTTGGATGCAGAGAGCGATTTTGCTTTTAAACATGCAAGAGTGATTTAAATCCCATAATTACTTCTGTCAAATACTGTACATAAAAAGGAATAAGAGAGGAATAATCAGTGACATTCAGTGCAGCTTTAGAATTGTCATGTAAACACAGTTTACCAGATTGTATTACCAAATAACTTTCTGCCCTGTTAATGTGCAACATAAGGAATAAAAATAAATCTCTAATACTTGAGTTATCAAGGGTAAGTCAATAGGCATTCATCTCTGCTAAACAAGCTTTCTAACTGATGAAAAAGCAAAAACCATTGCCCTTTCCCAGCAAACATATGCATCTAGCATACCTGATTCTCCAGATAGGTATTTTTTTCCTAGGTATTTTTCCATGTAAATAACATTTTCTGCAGCATGTTCTCATAAAGAAAGTTCATATCTGAGCTCTGTTGGGAGCTCCACGTGGGCTAATTTGCAGCCCTGTGACACTCCAGCCAAAATTCTTCTAGTGCTGAGCAGACTTATAAATGGGGCTTGGGTATTTCTCTGGTGTTCTGCAGACTAGCTAGACTAATAGCCTCCTTTACTGAGAAGCAGACCAGATATGCATGCTCTGACAAATCCAGGTGTTTGCAAGATTCCCGATCGTTAGTAGGTAGCTGTGGTTAATTTGTGCTTAAGAGATTGGCAGTGCACATCACCCAGACTATACTTTTATACGTTAAATATGAATGTAAGATGTCAACGGGTTCTGTCAGAGAGGCCCAGTGCAAGGAGAAGTGATGGCAAGGTTGTAAAAGAAAACTGGCACTTGTATTTGCTACATGCTTGCCCACAAAAAGCCATGTTGATTACATTCGCTCCCTGCTTAAGTGAATCACAAAATCTAAAGCTCTTTCTGAACTTTTAGAATAAAAGTCTGGTTTCCATACACAGGATCATGGTGAGAAATTCCTGTTGTTCACTAGGGGTTTTCTATCCTCTTGCAGTAGATAAAGTAATTTTGGCTATTTTAAACTTTTCTGATAGGGCAGTAGTCTTCCCAAATTAACTCATGCTCTGTTAACATAGATTCTTCCTTTAGCATTCCAGTACTCTGACAGTTGAGGGGTTTTTTTTGGTTTTGTTTTCTTTTCCTTGGAAAAAGGCAAATGCATGTCTTTCTACCTCACAGGGAAGTGTCTGTTCATGTCTGGTCTAAGTAATGAACAGCTGAACCATATGGATGACCACACCTTGCCACATAAATATGGGATTGGATTTACAAACATGGTTGAAAGGACAACACCTGGAAGCAAAGACCTCTCCAGGTAGGATAACAAGGGGGAATATCATGCTTGTTAATGAATTAATAGTTGTGATTATAACTTTGAGTACTCTCTCTTTTAGCAAAGAGTTTCGGGAAGGAGGGCGAATTCTGATGCAGAAGTTACAAAAGTATAAACCTCGTATAGCAGCTTTCAATGGAAAATGTGAGAACCTTGATTTTAAATAAATTTGTTCTGTCAGTAGCTTTTTTTTCCTTTGGTCCACTTATCCTATCTTCTTTTCATCTTAGGTATTTATGAAATTTTTAGTAAAGAAGTTTTTGGAATAAAAGTTAAGAACTTGGAGTTTGGACTGCAGCCACACAAGGTGCCAGATACAGAAACTGTAAGTATTGATACTGAGAAACAAAACCAGGGCACTCCATTTTGGTTATTTCAAAACTAATGAAGTCTCAGGACTTGCACACATTTGCAATAATGTCCACATTTGTCCAAAGTACAAGGGATGGGAAAAACACTTACTTAAATAGAGAAAGGGGGATAGTGCAATTTTCAGACACATCTTTAATGCAGCTTCTTCGGACTTGCAGACTTTTATTTGGGAAATGGTGTACTATAGTTAGCAGGTTACAGCATTCTCTGAGGACTGTCTAAAATATGAAAAAAATATACATGCTTTTATGATAACTATCATGTACTTTCATCTGATTCTCTGTGTCCATTTCCCAGTACGTTTGTATCACTGAATTTTGATATCAAACATGACCATGGTGCTAGTAGTGTCACAGTGGGGGAGAAAGAATAGCAAGTCCGTCGTTGTGCTGTTACACGCTACAGCTACAGCATTACTGGATCTGGGCACGCCCAAGCACTTCCATCAGACTCAGTCTTCTTAAGCAGATTTGCAGCTTGAAATTAAATTGGACACTTAAGATAAAATAAAGTGTGATGAAGAGTGCATTAGTCATAGACATCTAGTCCTGGAAGGTGCCTCAAGAGACCAGCTATGTATCGTCACAAATAGGTTTGTTTAACGTGTTCTTATAAACAGGTTAAGGCAAAGGCAGTTACACTACCTGCCCAGGTAGCTTATTCCAAAGCGTCATTACCTTGTCAGTTCAAAAGTTTGGGTTGTTTTTATTTCTACCCCAAATTACTAGTGCTGCAAGTTTAAGCTCAGTTTAAGCTGTCCTTCTCTAAAGGTGAAGTGTTGACATCGGAGCCTGAAGAACTGTTCGTGATAAAGTGCTTGCTTCTTAAGTAGCCCTTAAAGACTTCCGCAGTAAATGTATTTGTGAGAAAGATAAATAATCCTCTGTACTAGTATTTGTTCATAAATACTGCATGGTAATAAAAGTACTGGATTCAGTTCCTTTTTCCTGAACTAACTTTATGCCTTTAGTTAGGGCTGTTGGCAGAGATAGAGACGCTTCAGTTGGTTTCAACCATGCTAACTCCAGAGTTTCAAACCCTGGCAAGTGTGATGCAGACGCTCTTGGCCAAGAAGCCAGGGTAATTAACCTGTGATGCCACCTTCAGTAGTTTGGGGTGTTTGCATGCTATCACGTACTCCTCTGGGGACTTTCTGGCTCAGAGCTCTGCTTGCTCAGGGAGTTCTGGAGTGTGCTCTGCTCTCTGGCATACACTTGTAAATTGTACTACTTGTAACGCATGCTGGTACTGCTTCTTCTGCAGCACATAAACAACTGGTGAAAATTGCTCTCTCTTCAGCAGCTGATAATCAGCCCCTCTCTTTAGGGCAAGACATCTAGCTGGCCAAGAAAAACGAAAGGCTCCTTTTATCCTCTCCCACGACCACCCATGGCATTAGGTGGAGTTTGTACAAAGGGTTAAAACAGTGACCTTAACTGTTAAGTTATTCTCGATGCACCAAATACTACCTCATAGTTCAGGGACCAGTAATGCTATTTTTCTTGTTCTTTGTCTCAAGCTCTGCTATGTTATGCCATCATCCAGTGCAAGATGCGCTCAGTTTCCTCGTGCACAAGATAAAGTTCATTATTACATAAAGCTGAAAGACTTAAGGGATCAACTGAAAGGCATTGCACCAAACACAGAGGTGCAGGAGGTGCAGTACACGTTTGACTTACAACTTGCACAAGGTATAGTGGTTATTCTGTTAGTATTTTATTAAAATGTGGTGTAATGTACAAAACAACTAGCAGTTTCTCAAGCAAAAAGAAACAAAGAATTTAGGGGGAGGGAAGAGATATGCCATCTTTTCTAAATCATGGGGCGTAGAATTACACATTCCACTCTCTTTTTAGTACAATCTTAATTACCTAAGGGGAGCAGGAATTATCTTGTAAAATGTGTGGCTCGCTTTTTTTCAAGTGTTCTCTGATAAAAACACTCTTTGGTCATTTTTGTTCTGAATATTAATAATGAGGTCTTCTCTTTTGGCAGAGGATGCTAAAAAGATGGCTGTCAAAGAAGAAAAATACGATCCAGGTTACGAAGCAGCGTATGGAGGAGCTTACTGTGATCGTGCACCGTATGAAAGTGAACAGTGCAATTTCTCTTCAAATGGAACTGGTAAAGTGTGGTGCTTGGGGCATTCAGTCTGTAAACCATTACTTACAAACAAACTTGCACAATTCATACAATATATTTGAAGTATAGCAGCAGTTAAACTCTAACGTAATTGAGGGAATGTATAGTTTTTGTGAGAGGGAAATAAAAGTAATTTACTTTATTTAAAATTGATTGTTTGCAACTTCAAACTGTTTTCCCAAACTCTGACTGGCTCCCAAGATCTGACAAGCAGACACAACCAGGGACTTACACAGTAAAGCTCTTCACCTACAGTGACTTGTATAACTGCATCATGCTTTTCAGAGCAAAAGAGAGGGTTGGTACTTCTTTTTTTTTTTTTTTTTCATTCCCAAGGAAAGCAAAACCAAAGAATGGTGGAACAGATAAAATAATAGCGCAGTTGAGGTCGTTCCATTGCTGGTGGGCCAGATGTAGGAGCAGTATTGGAAGGATGAGTCTGGTCATCTAGTTGTAATTAAGAAGCTGGGAATTTTACTTCCCAAAATACCACCAACTGTAATAAAAAAAAAAAAAAAAAAAGAAAACAACAGCAGAAGCAGTAACCTTGGAGTACCCACCTTCCTCTGAAGTCTTGAATTTTCAGTCCTAATCTCACTTACGTTGTGAATTGAAATTTGCATTCTGTCTACCCTACTTTGTCAAAGAGAATGTCCTTTTGAGATGAAAAAATTCATTTATAGTAAGCACTGCAAAGTGAGGTATTCTTTTAAACATTTAGACTTTTAATTTATAAATATGCAGTCACCCTTCAAAGAAAGAAGATTTGAAGAAATTCTAATTTGAGGAAATGATTTGGATCTACAAAAGTAGATGCTCAGAAGAAACATGTGAACTGCAGCCTGAGTAGGTGGTTGAAAAATAGCGAGGAAAGATGGAAACTGCAAATACTTTTTTTTTATGATTACTTTTTAGGGGTTGTTTTGGAGGCTTGGGGTTTGTTTTGTGGTTTTAGGGGTTTTTTGCTAGTGGCATCATATGTATTTTAACCATTTAGTTTTAGTTAGTGGTATCAGCTGCATTTTTAAAACTGTATTGTATTATTTTTGTTTGTTTTAGCAGCGAGCAATCCACAGTACTGTGAGGGGTCGTCCTTCGGTGAGGTTCCTAATGGACAGTGGATGACACAGTCCTTTGCAGACCAGATTCCAGAGTTCAGTGCTGGTATGACACAGGAAGAAGAGGGGAGCAGTGCGTAAGAGCTGTTCCTTCTCGGCTATGCATACATGCTGCAGTTTTAATGCAGTGATCAAGATTGGTACCTCGGTTCTCCAACTGAAGCATTTTAATAGTATTTTATCTCCCCTAGTTATTTTATTATAGTCCAAAGTAAGTGTGTGGTAGGCTCAAATCAATGAACTAGATAATTTTAAGGAACTGTCCAAACTTTTTTAAAAAAAGTTAGCCCTTTTTTTGTATATGAGTTTTATATTTAATGTATACCATTTCTTGCAGTTTTGGACAAATTGCTTTCTCATTTGTGAAGGTTTCTTTGGGGCGTTAATTTTATTCCGTAAGTCGTAATGTAGTAGTAACAGCAGCAGTATACTTTTTACTGATGCCTCCATATTTGGATATCTCATAACCCTTTTATATCCGGAGGGGAAAATGGGAAGTGTACTCTTATCTTACACGAAGTGGTGTTTTTAATCATGCACAGTTAAGAAAATTGTGCTTTTTAAGTCTGCCTTTTACCTTCTCAAAATGTGCAGAAAGTTGTGTTCCGCAGCTGTGAGTACCGAGTATTTTCTGGGTGGGAAGAGGGAGCTCTGCCTATGTAGTGATTGGACCATATTCACGATTAAGGGAGTGGAGACATCATCTCAAGTCACAGCACTGGGGAGGAAAATTTGTGTCACACAGGAGAGGGCCTAAATATTCTAGCTGAGCTGTCTTAGGGTAAGGTGTCCCTACGACTCCATCTCTTTCCCCCTTACATTCCAATGTAAGGAACTGGAATTCCTTAAAACAAAACACCAAACAAAAAAAATGCAACTATGGTGGTTCTTGAATTCTGTGGCATTTAAACTCCCTGTCATTTCTGTGTGATTAGTCTCTTCACCTGGCCTTTACCAGGAGCCAGCCCCTTAAACAGATGACATTGTAGGGAATTGAAAGACCGTATTCCCTGTAAAAACCATGTACAGCTACATTGTTTACATCAGGTGCAATTAGCACAGGGTGAAAGACGCTTGCTATTTAGCAGTTTTTGACATTCAGTTCTCTTCAATCTGTAAGACCATAGAGGGTGTTCTCCTTATTCCTCTTACAAGTGAAAAATACTAAGTTAAATAAGGGCAGCTGTAGAAACTACAACTCTTGTCTGAGGAACTTGCTGAAACAATACACATTTTTGGCCAATATTGGTGACTGAGAAAGAAGTGAGATTCCATGCTTGTGCCTAACCATCATCATCTTTCCCTCTTCTATCATGTGAGGAAGAGATGACGTAAAAGCAATAAGCTGATCAAAACATTAAAGTTTTGATGATCTTATGACAGTAGGTGCTTCACATACTTGAAAAATAGATACAAACAGTATCTCCGCAATCCGCACCGGTCAGAGATTCCTGTACCGGTCTGTTTTATCCTTTCCTCACAGCCAGGGACAGTTGTCACACACTGAGTGTAACTAGCTAGCGTAGACTCTAATCCTGCTGTAACAGCCCTCACTGAGATCACACACTGTCAACCTGTTGTGAGGCAGGCATGATGTTTACAGTCTTCTTCCCAAATTATGTGGCTTAATTCTGAGAGTCTTAAGTCAAGTAAGCGTGCATTATGATTCTGATCTGTGTTTATTAGCTTCAGCATAAAGCTGCTCGGTATATTGTCAAAAAGGTGTAGGATTTGTCTTGTCTGTTATTTAAAGTGTACTGTATCATGTATCGCTGTTTACATGGATGTTTTCCTGCAGGTGCTCAAAGTATCTTGCATCAGGGATTTGTTACAATTCAATTTTATTTTTCAACAAAACCAGACAAATTAGCACTGCTGAGTATGTAGCACAGTAGGATACAACTACTGTAAGGCTACCCTGTTTGATTGGAAGGGAAAGGTCTCTTTAACAGAGCCACCTACTAGGATATCTAGGTATAAAATACAGTTAAGTGTACAATGACCGTTTCGCTAAATATTGCAATTCTGTGTGTATTCCCTCAGAACTGGTGCTCTTTTCATTACCGTAATACAGAAGTTCTTAATCTGTCCTGAACTATCAATGTTTCACAATAAAATCAGGAATCCTATTGCAGTGTCTTAGAATGTGCTTTTGCATCTTGCTGGCAGGGGTCTAAATGCGCTACAGGACACACAATACACAGAAATACTGCAAAACAGGGTCACTGTGCAGCAGAACTCTAAAATGCCGCGTAAGTTTTCATTTCGGGCTGTTTTATGTGGGCTAGACAACTAAAGACACCTTGTCTGTAATACTGCAGGTATCTCCTGTGTAGATTTTTCTACCAGCAGATAGTGGAGTCTTGTTTATAAAGACCTTGCATTAAAACACACTGTCTGGCACTGCATTTCACCTCTGTAAACATTTAATGAAAATACTTCATTGGCAAGTAAACTTGTTTCCTTACCTCACATGAAAGTCAAGATAATCTGAACTGTGTAACTGTCATTCCAGCCTCCCTCTCCAGCCACAAGCACACAAAACTGATGGTCATTTATTCATATATTTAACAAATACTTTGTTTTCTAAAATCACTTAATTATACAACATGTTGCATCTCAAACTATTACATACTGCAAAACATAGTGTATGAATGCATGTAAGTGGTTTCAGTATCAGCTGTCGGGACGAGTTAATTTGAACTTCCCTGAAGGGTCAGGAATAAACCAGTTTTCCCAGAGATCAGTGTGAACACTGGGATAGTCCCAAGGTTTGTATCTCCCATTCCAATGAAGTAATTTAGCTTCTTGAAGAAAATGCTCCGAGTAACGGGTATCAGGGCTCCAACCTGCATGGGTACATTGGGGAAAAAAAAAAAAAAAATGCAGTTTCTAATAATGGCAGACACTATGAAGTGAGGCAAATTCAATTAGTTTTTTTTAAAAAGTCTGGTTATGGTTTTACCTGTCAATAGACACCTAGTTGTATGATAGACTAGCTTTTTTTCAACTTCATGCCTCTCTGATGCAGAATTAGAAAAAAAATCTCAGCAAGCTTCCTCTCTCTTAACACTTTTAACATTTTGGCACAGCTGGGGTTTAAGCAAACAAACAAAAAAAAATCCTTTTACTATTCATTTTACTGTATGAGCTAAGCTATGATCTTTTTCCCAGGATAATTCACCATTCCCAGGTGAAAGGTAACTACATCCTCCCAAATGTTGATTACGCAAACACTGCCAGGCATCCCATCTTCTTCCACTGTGCCTACTAAAAGAATGTCTCATTTTTTACAGTCTCTCACTATATTCAGATCTTTCATACATTCTTTCCATAGTTTATGACAATATAGGTTAGCTCGTCTTCAAATGTGTCACTCTGTCCTTGGTATTTGGGTTTTTTCTTTTTTTTATCCCATTTAATGACTATTAGGGCTTGGGGGTTTTTTTGCAGGGGTGCAACTATTTTGTTTTCTTGACCTGTTAAGATATTTGCCTAATGACACCTGTGGGGAGCCCCCCCATTCTGCCCTACCCTGAGGAAAGCGGGACTTGTGAGTGTTGGGGGAAGCAGGGCTTACGTACTGTGGATCCGAGGTAGAAAGTGATGCGTTGAGGTAAAGTAACATAAGGGTCTATATCGGTATCGGACTCTTACAAACCGCTCACTTTATTTAGTTCCAGCTGCCAACAGTGGGAAGTTAAACTTACCGAGATGCCTTATGTGCCACATAGGATTAATAGTGGAATACTTTCCATGAAATACAATCAGCATTGGAGAGGTTGCCACACCTCCCCCAAGGGTGCTGCTGTAGAGGTTTTCCCTGCAAAAGGAAAAAAAAAAAAAAAAGAAAACGCAGAAAATGTTCAAAACCTAATCAGAGAGTCTTCAGTACAAAAGCCAGAAGATTAAAAAAGTATTCTGGCACAGTTCAAAATCATTTTGCAACTTGTATTTGCAACTCCAGTCCCTGTTGAGTAAATCGTTGCTACGAAGCAAAATGGGAGTTAGATCCAACATGAAGCCAATTACTTCTACGCACTGCCTATAGTCTACAAGGCTGACAAAGTTTACAGTAGAAAAAAAAAGCTGTTAACATAAAGGAATCATACATAACTGAACCTGGTTTCTTAAGAAAGTTTACATGTTTCCATGTGTTCCATTCCCTTTTTCTCCACCCCTACCCCCCTCCTTTCCAACCCATAAATTAACTTCAAATCAGATTTGCCAAAGTCTAGTATAAACTAACATCTAAAGGATATCCGTTTCCTAAGAATTTTGTGATAAATCCAGGGCTAGATAAAGCCAGCTCGCTGTAAGGAGAGACATTAGGAGGTAGCAGCCAGACGTCCGGCCGCAGTGTGCTGAAGGCCTGGCCGGCCAGTCGGCGCATGGGCCCAGCCACCCCGGCTGTGGGACACGGCGCCACCCGCCAGCCCAGCAAGGGGGCAACCTGGCAAGTACCCAGCGGTGCTTAGAGGCTACAGAACAAAAGAAGAAAAAAAAAAAAAAAAGAAAAGAAAAAAAATCAACCTCCCCTCAAAACCGGGTTTCGACTGCTAAGCAATTTATTTCACTGTCATTTCAAAACCCAGCAAAAAAGGAACATGAATGTCTTATTAAGGTGTAAAATCATCTTCATCGATGAAATTTGCAGTAATATTCATGGAGTTTTTTCAAACTCTTAGAAAGCACAGCAATAGCTTGTCAGGATATGTTACCTAAGCAGAATAAGAGAAAAAGATTTGGCTTCTCATTCCTTCACAGGCTTATCATTTGTATCTCTCCTCTGTTCATTTCTGAAACTACCAAGTAATGGACATAGTCCAATAGTACAAACTATTCAGTTTCAGTTTGGCCTTACTCAATTTAAAATTTACCCTTTGCAGAGAAAATAAGTGTCAAGTTTGCAAATACAGGTTAACAGTGAACTAGCATAAAAAAATGAACACTGATTGTTTCACTGTGTCACATCTTATTCATGGTCAATGCCAAAAAGGTCTCTTTCATGTCAAATTTCATTCATCTATAGAAAAAGAAGTGTTTTCTATTAGTATTTAAGAAACATGGTGTCCAATTACAGTCTGGCTGACACTACAATAGGAGAGACCACACAAACAAGGAAACATCCCTTCCTGAGGCTGGCTTAAAGGAGGAGGAAAGATGGTAAGTGGCTTGATCCCAAGTGAGGTTGGTCACCCGCCCAAAACAAGAAACACGTGTTCTCAGTGTCCCTCACGATTAAGTGTGATCAAACACAAGACTAAAATTCCAGGTGGCCATTTCCTGGTACATGATTGGTTAGATTTAAGCAGATGGAAATTCTGGAATGTGAATTACTTTGCTTGATGAAATCTCAGAGAAAGACT